TCTTTTTGAATGAGGGTTTTTGTATTTTGAGGGTGAATACCCAATAGTGCAATTACTGGATCATAGGGAAGTTCTATTTTTAACATTTTGAGGAACCTCCATACCATTTTCCACAGTGGCTGCACCAGTTTGTATTCCTACCAACAGTGCAAAGGGTGTTCATTTTCTCCATATCCTTGCCAACACTTGCTGTTTCTTGGGTTTTTTATTTTAGCCATTCTGATAGGTGTGAGGTGATATCTTATTGCAGTTTTGATTTGCATTTCCCTGGTGATGAGTGATATTAGCATCTTTTCGTGTGTCTGTTGGTTATCCGGATGACTTCTTTGGAGAAATGTCCGTTCATGTCTTTTTTGCCATTTTTAATTGGATTATTTGTTTTTGGGGTGTTGAGTTGTGTCAGTTATTTATATATTTTGGATATTAACCCTTTATTGGATATGTCATTTGCAAATATCTTCTTCTATTCAGTAGGTTGCCTTTCAGTTTTGTTGACTGTTTCCTTTGTCGTGTAGAAGCTTTTTGTTTTGATGTAGTCTCAATAGTTTATTTTTGCTTTTATTTCCCTTGCTTTAGGAGACATATCTAGAAAAACGTTCTAAGGCCAATGTCAGAGGCACTATTGCCTGTTCTCTCTTCTCGGATTTTTATGGTTTCAGTCTTACACTTAGGTCTTTAATCCATTTCGAGTTTATTTTTGTGTATGGTGTAAGAAAGTGGTCCAGTTTTATTCTTTTGCATGTCGCTGACCAGTTTTCCCAACACCATTTATCGAAGAGAGTGTCTTTTTCCTATTGGATATTCTTTCCTGTTTTTTTGATGATTAAGTGATCATATAATTGTGGGGGGTTTTCTGGGTTTTCTATCCCGTTCGCCACAATCAGGTGGGATTTATTCCTTGTATACAAAGGTGGCTCAATATTTGTAAATCAATCAACATGGTACATTACATTAATTGGAGAAATAATAAAAACCATATGATCTTTTCAATAGATGCAGAAAAAGAATTTGACAAAGTACAACATCCAATCATGATAAAAGCCCTCAACAAAGGCCACATATGAAAAACCCACAGTGAACATTATATTCAGTGGGGAAAAATTGAGAGCTTTCCCCTTAAGGTCAAGAAAAAGATAAGGATGTCCATTCTTGCCACTTTTATTCAACATAGTACTGGATTCACCAAGCACTTTTTTTTTTACCCAGTATTTTTTAATTATTCCATTTCCCCATCTATTAGCTTATTAGATATGCATTCTTTTATGATTTCGCTAGAGATTACAAAATTAATTCTCACTCATTAGAATAGAATAGAATATAAATTTGTACTTGTACCATTACCTCGACAATGTGGAGACCTTATCACTTTTTAGCTCCATTTATGCTTCCATCTGTTGTGCTTAGTATTTTTTATTTTAAATATATATTTAAACCCCATAAGACATTATTTTTAAATACTCTAAATATTAATTTAATTTTGCCCACATATTTACTCTTCTGGTAGGTTTTATTCCTGTGTTGCCTTGCTTTCATTTGGGATCAGTTTCCTGCTGCCTGGAGAATTCTCTTTGGTATTTCTTTTAGTGTGCTCTGCTGTGGTAAATCCTCTCTGTTTTCATCTGAAAATATTATTTTTTGCCTCCGTCTTTAGAAGATATTTTAATTGTGGTCTATAGAAATCTATATATAGAATTCTAGATTGGCAGTCGTTTACTTTCAGTGCTTTGAAGGTGGCATTGCATTGTCTTCTAGCTTCCATCATTTCTTTTTTTTTTTTTTCCATCATTTCTTTTTAAAAGTCAGTGTAGGGTCTTAGGATTATCACTTTCAAAGTTTGTATCTTTTTCTTCTCTGGCCATTTAAAAACATTTTTTTTTTAATTTTTTAAATTTATTTTTGAGAGAGAGAGAGAGAGAGAGAGAGAGCGTGCATGAACCAGGGAGGGACAGAGAGAGAGACAGAGACACAGAATCCCAAGCAGGCTCCAGGCTCCAGGCTCCAGGCTGTCAGCACAGAGCCCAACGTGGGGCTCGAACTCATGAGCTGTGAGATCATGACCTGAGCCGAAATCAGACGCCCGGCCGACTGAGCCACCCAGGCGCCCTTTCTCTGGCCATCTTTATTATTTCTTCTTTGCTTTTCAGCAGTGTCTTCCTATAAAGTTCCTGGGTGTGGCTCCATTTATATTTACCCTGTATGGGATTTGAAGGCCATCTTGAATTTGTTGCTTGATGTTTTTTGTCAGTTTTGGAAAGTTTTCATTCAGTACCTTAAAATATTACTTATGGGGGCGCCTGGGTGGCGTAGTCGGTTAAGCGTCCGACTTCAGCCGGGTCACGATCTCGCGGTCCGTGAGTTCGAGCCCCGCGTCGGGCTCTGGGCTGATGGCTCAGAGCCTGGAGCCTGTTTCCGATTCTGTGTCTCCCTCTCTCTCTGCCCCTCCCCCGTTCATGCTCTGTCTCTCTCTGTCCCAAAAATAAATAAAAAACATTGAAAAAAAAATTAAAAAAAAAATATTACTTATGTGCCTGTCACTCCTTTGCTTCTGAGTCTCCATTTACATGAATGTTACAACTTTTCGCTATGTCTTATGTATGTCTTGTACTTTTTTTTGGTATACTTCAGTATAGACATTTTTCTGTGGTCCCATCTTTCATTTCCCTGATCCTCTGTTCTGTTGTGTTTAATAGATTGCTATCCTTTCTAGAGAATCCTCAATTTCACAAACTTCTTTTTTTAGTTCTAATATTTCCATTTGATTCTTTTCTACTGGTTCAAAATCCTCTTCTTGTCCTCTCCTGAACATATTAATCCTGGTTATCTTAAAATCTATAGTTGCTATTAGCAAGGGTGTTGATCTAAGCTTCTCGGTTGTAGTCGTAAGCGGAAACCCCACCCACATTGTTAAAGAATAGCAGGGAATCTGGATTCTCATGTGAAATCTCCTGGCTTTTACATGTTGGCCACTGATTTAAATACCCAACCCCCTCCACCAGGGAGCCCAATTCAAACATTTATTCAGGCTGTATCCAGCCAGTCTGTTACTTCTCACCTAGACCGTGTGAAAATCGGAAGTGGGCTATCTCACAGTGGCCCCATATCCCCGCTTACGTGTTTAGAAAAGATCCCCTGGGCTGAGGAGACAGAGAGGGAGAGAGCCGGAGGGAAAACAACACAAGTACGACTGTTAATGTGTCTCAGAGGGATTTTAGAAGGTCCTGGGGAGCAGACAAAAACTCTGAACGGTTTTACAGATCTGAGAACAGAGGAGATGTGTGGCCCACTCCTGTGGTGAAGGTGGTGGTGAGATGGTATGGCAGCAGCCGTTGCAGAGTCGAAGCATACAGCTTATGCCAAACACAGCCTGTAGAGGTCTCCACATGGGACAGGGACATGACTGAGAGAGCCCCCGGCCATAAGGAGCCAGGTAGAGGAAGGCAGGATGTCTTAGCAAAGACTTGGATGGAACTTTGACCTCACCCACTCACCACTCTCCTCCTTGTCCACTACTCCTTAGCCACTCTGGCCTCTACACCCTTTAAACATGGCAGCCATGTCAGGGTCTAGCTATCTCTTGGGAATATTCTTCCTCCAGATATCCACATGGCCCTTTATGTCAATTTATTCAGGTGTTTGTGCAACTTCACCTCCTCGGTGAGTGTTCAGACAGGCCTGACCAACCCCCCTGAGCTCGTGCTCACGTCCATCTCTTCACTTTCTATGCCCATTTCCCTGCTTTACTCTTCACTTGATCTCAGCCAAAAGGCCGAGAAGCGATCCCCTGCTTTACTCTTATCTTTAGTGATTATTAGTCCTCATCATCTGAGGGTTCCATAACTGTGAATTCACCTGCTCGCTAAAATTTATTTGTAGCCCCAGGCCAACCCCCACAGTGGTTCCAAAGTCATTTGTGGACATGCAAAGAGGAGTGAAACACTTAATGCACATTCCCAGCTGAGGTTGAACAGGGAGACACTGCCTTCTGGTTTCAGTTATCATACTATTAACAAGTATCCTTTTCATGGTCTGCTTAGTGCCACTGTTTTTGTCGTTGTTGCATTTTTGTACTTTTCGTTGATGATTTCACTATTTAAAATGGCTCCCAGGCAGTGCTGACATGTTAGCCAGGGTCCCTAAGCACGAGAAGGCTGTGACATGTCTTGTCAAGAAAACACGTGTGTTAGAGAAGCATTGTTCAGGCATGAGTTAATAGTGCTGTTGTGTACAAGTTCATTGTTAATTAACAATATATATTAACTAAGAGGCCTTTAAACAAAAATATACATATAACAAAGTTATACGTTGAGCAGTTGACAGAAAATGTTATGACCAAAGGCTCATAGGACCTTGCTTAAGTCTGTATGTTTCCTACAATATTCAGTATTTGCTAATTCAGCAACTTTATAGAACAGAACCGCCATGAATAAGGAGACTCTACTGTATCTGGTATTGTGTATTATATATTTGTTTATTATCTGTCTGTTCCACTAGAAGGTAAGTCCAAGAGGGAAGAGGCTTTGTCTAACCTGTTTGGGGCTGTGATTAGAATAAGGCACATGGTAGGCATTCAGGAAACTTGTGAAATGAGTGAGCAATGGCATATCAAGCCTGCACAATAATTGTTTTTAATTTCAGTACTGAGAAGGAGTTTAGGAAAGGGTTTGGAAAGGGGACCACTGAGAAAAATATTTGCTTGTTTAAGATGAGTTGAATCATGCAGATATCTGTGGCAAGAGTCTGGGACCAGCACATGCAAAGGTCCTGGGGCAGGAGCCCTTTGCTTGCCTGATGTTTTCAGAAGGTGGCAGGGAGGCCAGCGTGTCTGGGGAGGAGAGGCTGGGGGAGAGGGGTAGGAAATAAGAATGGTAACCGGACAGAATTTATTCACCTCTCCACCCCCTGCACTAAGAAATGTGTACAGAACATAGTAGGTGTTCAGGAAAAATGTGTTGAACGTTCACATGTGACACGTTAATGCCAGAGCAGGGAACGGTAGAGAAAATCCTGAATAGACAAATTAAGTTTCCTCCTATCCCAGCAGAGTGGAGGGCTTGGAATAGATACTAGATAGAGTTGTTAAACTGTCACCAGTCAAATGGGATTGTGACCTCACATACCCATGAGGTGAGCTACAATTCAGCCTGCTGCCCAGGGCCGGCCTGGGTTTCATGGGTGACTTCACAATGGCCAGCGTGGTGCCCTGCCCACCGCCACAGTCCCAGTCCACCATGCTAACCACCCTGTGGCTGCTGCTCAACTTTGCTGTCCCCTTGCCAGGGTTCTATGTCTCCTTCAGCTGTCCCAACGAGAAGCAATGCCAAAGAGCCCTCCTCTCGGACAATGACGTCTTCTTGCCCTGCAACTCTCCTGGGTCACAGTGGTACTTCTTCCTGCAAGACGGGACCAGCTGGTCCCACACACTCTCCAGTGCTTCCAACATAGAAATCATACCTGACAGCGGCGTTCTCATTCGGAGTCCGTTGCCCTCCCAGACGGGTTTCTACCACTGCCAGGACAAGGACGGCCTCCAAGTGGTACAGTATGAGATTGACTTCCAGGATGTCAGCACCCTGCACATAACACACAAGGGACTGGGTCAGAAGCCCCTGCGGAACGAGAGCCTGAGTCTGGGTGGCAAAGGGATCGTCTTCACCCGCTGGGAGCCCTGGCAGGACTGTAACCGCTGTGGGGGGCTGGGCGAGCGGAAACGCCTGGGGTACTGCTACATCGAGGAGCCCCTGCAGGAACCCATGCCCTGCTGGCTGTATCTGGGAGGTAGGAAGGTGTGGTCCAGCCGCATGCGGCCCGAGATGCAGGTGGACGCCTGCCGTGTCCCGTGCACGGCACTGACGTCGGATTACGTCCCCTTTGACAACTTTGAGATCACTGAGGAGTCGGGATCCGTGTGGCTCACCTGCCCCCTGGGATCTGTCTACAGGTGATGGAGACAGGCACCAGCCCTGCCCTTGGCTCCTAGCCAGGGTCCCCCAGGCTGGGAGCCTTCATGATGAATTCCTGCAGAGGGGAGGGGGCCCACATGGTCAGATTGCTCTCTGCTGGCCTCATCAGATGTGCCTTTGGTAAGAGCCCCCTGGCCCCCACACACAATTGAGTCACACAGGTAGAACAGGACTGCTGACCCTTTGGGAGGGCTTGGCCGATTCTGTGGCCGCTCCTGTGGTCGGCCATGCCGTGGATGTGGCGCTCATCAGACACCCCTGTGGAAGCCCCCAGCCTGGGGGTGGGGGTGGGGGTGGGGGGTGGACAGCCCGGGGTGGTCAGGGCTGGGATGGGAGAAGCCCACGTGAGTAATGAGGCTATGCCGGGGGAAGCTCAGAACGCTGTGGGACCCTGAGACCTCTGCTCATTGGGGAGGATCAGAGAGCCCCGAAGAGAGGAGGCTGCCCCGGGAGGGTACTCATCAGGGTCTGCCTCGCAGAACGCACACTCATGTTCTTGTATTCCTGCCTGGAGCCCCTGGGAAATGTCCCCTTGGCCTGTCTTCCCTAAGCCACCCGCACTGATGACCCTGACCCCGGTGAGAAGAATTACAACCACTCACAGCCCTGCACTTTGGCCACGGGCTGCATCCCAGCCCCAGAGCCAGAGCCGTGGGCCCCAGGGGGGCCATTTACTGATGAAGAAGCTGCAGCTCTCAGAAGGCACAGTCCTTGCCCGGGGCCGGCCCCCCCCCCCCCCATACACCGGGGCCCTAAATCCTGCAAGCTTGGCTGCAGAGTCCCCGTGGCCTCCAGCCCCGCGTGCCAGGGATGGCCCCTCCCTTGCAAGGTGGGGGCCCCAGCAACCCCTTGGGGCCTCTGTAGCCACAGGCTCTGTCAGTGTGAACCCGCCACCTCCATCTGGTTTGCTTTCCCTTGTTCCAGCTGTGACCTCTGACCTCTTCTCCTTCTCACCCTCTCTCCATGGTGTCCCTTCCTCCTTTTTCCCTCCTCCTTTAAGGATAAAGGTAACAGCTACTCCCTATAACCCTCCCCCGCCACCCAGTTCAGAAGTGCAGGAAAGGGCACACGAGCCTCTCCTCTTACCTGGACTGGGCCACCCACTCCACGCCGCTTGCCAGACAAGGAGTCCCTGGCTGCCAGTCACTGGGGACCTGAGATAAGAATCAAGGGAGGTCCCCAGAGGCTTTAGGAGTTGCCGGGTCTCAAGGGAGCCGAGTAGAGTGGCATTTCCTGTGAGGTTTACATCTTGGACTCTGGATTCATCCAGACCTGGGCTCCAATCCCAGCTCTGCTGCTTTTCCAGCTGTGCGACTTTGGGCCTGTGGTGTCCCTCTGGGCCTCAGTCTCCCTGTCTGTAGAATGCGGGTTGCATTCATTTCCTAAGGCTGTCACAACACAGTACCACACACTGGGTGGCTTACAACAATGCAAATGTATTCTCTTGCAGTTCTGGAGGCCAGAAGTCCAAAGCCAAGGCGTCACCAGGGCCACGCGCCCTGTGAGATGCTGGGTGGAATCTGTCCTGCCTCTGCCTAGCTCCTGGGAGTGGCAGGCAATCCTTGGCCTTCCTTGGCTTGTAGCTGCATCCCCCTGCCCCCCCCCCATCTGTCCCTGTCATCATTCGGCATTTTCCCTGTGTGTTTGGGTCTGTGTCTCTTTTCCCTTTCTTTTTTTAAAATTTATTTAATGTTTATTTTTGAGAGAGAAAGACAGAGCGTGAGTGGGGGAGAGACAGAGAGAGAGGCGGACGCAGAATCCGAAGCAGGCTCCAGGCTGTCAGTCGGCAGAGAGCCCAACGCGGGGCTCGAACTCATGAACTGCAAGATCATGACCTGAGCCAAAGTCGGACCCTTACCCCACTGAGTCACCCAGGCGCCCCTCTTCTCCCTTTCTCAAAAGGACCCAGGTTGTATTGCATTTAGGGTCCAGGGATTTACTCCAGTCTGACCTCGTCTTCACTGATTACATCTGCAACACCCCAATTTCCAAAGAAGGTCACGTCCTGAGGTTTAGAACACGAATTTGGGGCGGACACGATCCAACTCAGTGCAGAGGTCTTGGTGGGCCCGGCCTCTCGGGCTCATTGTGATGTCTAAGGGGCAAATGCCTGTCCAGACGCAAAGCCCCACCCTCTAGTGGGTGTTCGTTTTTGCTTGCATGATGACCGGCCCTGTCAATGCCGTCTGTTGGGTCTCCTTTCTGTTCCTCGGTCACGACGGGCTGAGAAGTTGCCAGCACTGAAAGGAGATGAGGGAGCCAGCCCTGTGTGCCGAGGCACAGCCCTCGAGGCAGAGGGAACAGCCAGGGCAATGGCCCTGAGGCAGGAAGGTGCATGCCGGAGGACCACCTAGGAGGCCAATGTGGCTGGGGCAGCCTAAGTGAGAGACAGAGTGGGGAAAATGAGGCTCGGCCAGGAAAGCGGTGGGGGGCGTGGGGGGGTGCGTTCTTGCTGATTCCTCCAAGTAACCCTCAGAGGCAGGTATAGTCACACCCCCCGGTTTTCAGATGAGCAATGGGAGGCTTGAAGAGCTAGAGGCATTTTCCTGTCGCAGATTGAGTGGGGGTGGGGCTCTGAGCTCCCCGACGCCCGTCCCCACCTTTCCCCTGCTCTGTAGCACTCTTGGAGGGCATGCCCTGTGCGCTGTTCCCCAGGGAGGAGGGCGCCGCTGTCCCCATCTCCTCTCAGACACCAGTCCCCCAGGTACCCCCCGCGGCCACAGCAGCTGACCTTGTCCTCCTCTGCAGGCCCATCCTCTGGGAGGCCGACAACATCCCCCTGACCTGGCAGAGCCAGCTCTCCAGCCAGGACTTGGACACCATTCTGGAACCTTCCAACGGCGGCAAGCAACTGCGGGTCTTCCAGCCGGCCATTTACAAGTGCTTCGTGCAGCAGGAGCTCATAGCCCGGTTCAACCCCGTGCCCTTTCCAGGCACGGCGGAGACTCGCAGGGAAGAGGAAGGCGGGCCACCCCGGGGGAAAGGGAAGACCCAGGAGGGGAAGGCCAGCTCCATCCTCAAGGGGCTCAAGTTGCTGCTGCTGCTGGGCACGGTCCTGGGCCTGCTGGGGGTGCTGCTCAAGATCTTCCACCCTTCCCAGGGCAAAAGCAGTGACCGGGTGCTGCTGGTGAAATGAAGCAAGCCCTCTGTGCCCAGGACACTTGGCCTCCTGTGTCTCCATCACTTTAACTGTCCTTCCCAAGGCACTTCTGGGGGGGTGGGGGGCGGCAGAGGCGGTGCCCGCAGGTGCAGAACAGGCCCATGGCCACAGCGAAGGCTGATGAGCTCTTCCCTGTTCCAGGTCCTGCTCGGTTAACCCCTTAGCAATCCCCATCCCGCAGATGAGGAAACGGAGGCAACTACTGTCCAGTAATTGGAAGGTGGGGGGTGGGGGCGCTCCAGTTGGAGCTCAGGTTGCCTGGCTCAAGTCTTGTGTTCTTCACAGGGAGGACGGGAGAGATGGAACTCACCATTTTCAGGGCGAGTCTCTGGGAGTTGGTAAACTGTAGCCACCTTAGGCAGCTTACTGCATTCCCCCGAGGACAAGGGCTGAGACAGGATGGGAGGGGGTAGCGGGGGGCGGGGGTCACACCCCGACCTGCAGATCCGCACTGGGCTCTGCCTTTCCTTGGTCGTCCTTGCCCCGCACTCCCTCAGATGTGCTGAGGGCTTTCAGGCTTAGCCATATCTGTCCGAGGCAGAGGGTGTTCCCAGGGTCGTAGCCCCGGGCCGCCGGACCTGTGTCACCCCTCCTGGCTCTTGCAGTGGAGAGAGAGCCCCAAGAAGGAGAGACAGACCCATTCTACCAGGACAAGGCACCAGGCCTGGCCCAGCTGACCCACGGGAGTCACCAAGCCTAGTTGTTCCCAGAAATTATATACACTGTTCCGCAGAGTGCAAGAGTGAGAAATAAAACATTAATGCCTCGTAAAACTCGTTGCCCTGATATCCCACTGGACAGATCTGAAACTTCCAGAACAGAGCTTCTGCCCCTGAGCAGAGGGCAGAGCTCACTCCTCGCTTACCAGACACTGTTGCCAAAACACGTAAGGCTTCACACGGTGCCCACAGACGCAAAGGTTCCTGCAGAATCGGGAGGACATTCGTGGAGAACTAAACAGGGTCCGTTGGGAAACAGAGGCAGAGAATAATGATGACAGCAACGGCAAATATTTGTGAACTTCCTGGCATGATCAGAACTCACACCCTTCATGAACTTAATGTCCTCACAGCCACCCATGAGGCTGGGGTTCCTCCGAACCTTGTTTTGAAATAGTTTTTTAACGTTTATTTATTTTTGAGAGACAGAGAGAGACCGAGTTCGAGCGGGGGAGGGGCAGAGAGAGAGGGAGACCCAGAATCCGAGGCAGGCTCCAGGCCCCGAGCTGTCAGCACAGAGCCCCACGCGGGGCTTGAACCCACGAACCGTGAGAGCATGACCTGAGCCGAAGTCGGACGCTTAACCGACGGAGCCACCCAGGCACCTCCAAACCTCATTTTGTAGTTGAAGACATCAAGGCACAGAGGGCTCAAGCACCCTGCCTGAGGTCACACAGCAAACTTGAGATGGGGCCAGCAACGGGAGAGTGAAGGAAGACCTTGGGGCCCTCCGACCAGCTCCCCAGAAGCCCCGGTTTCCTGCACCCGCGGCGGCACATGTCGCGGTAGCCGGGGGTGGAACAGCCAGACCCAAGCACAGGCTGCCCCCAGGCCTGAGGACCACAGTCCACAGCCAAGGCAGTCCGTGTCCCCCGGCGGCAGGCAGACACTAAGGTGACCCCAGTGATTTTCACCTCCTGGTGTCCACGCTTTGTGGGGTTCCCCTTCCTGTCCAGTGTGGATGGCACCGGTGACTTGCTTCTAACCACATTCATATTCTTACTGTTAAGGGGTCAGAATGTCACCCCTGGATGAGGGTACATTGTATGAGACTCTGTCTTAGCCTCCCGGATGCAGAGAGAGGCTTGCTGGCCGGGTGAGGTCAGCAGCCATGACGCAGAAGCCTGCTTGGTGTGAACCGTGAGCGGCCTCTAGGAGCCGCAAGTAGTCTTTAGGACCTGAGGTGACAGCCCGGGCCTCAGTCACATGGTCCCCAGGAAATAAACTCTGCCAACAATTTGAGTAAGGCGGGAGGCAGGTTCTTCTGTCGAGCATCCGGATGAGAACACAGCCTGACCGACACTTGGACTGAGCAGAGGACCCCAGGGAGCCGCATCCGGACTCCTGACCCCTGGACACCGGGCTATCATGCACGTGTGTGGTTTTAAGCCACTTAGTGTACTGCCATTTGTTACGCAGCAGTAGGCAACAAACGCCCCCCCCCCATAACCCCCAGTCCCCCTGAGGTCCCCTGCAGCTTCAGCGGTGACGCAGACAGTTGCCTCCCCTCAGGAGCCAGGCCAGCAGCTGGGCAGCTGGTGCCCCTGGGAGCAATCCTTACCCAAGAGGGATGGCGGTGGGAGCCACAGGTCTGGGGCGCATCCAACACCTTCCTTCAGGCTCTTCAGTGACACTGACCTTCAGGTGGGCACAGCGGCAACCGGCCCATCCATGCCCGTTCATCAGGTGAGCCCCTCTCGGGCCTTGCTCTCCCTCACTTCCGCGCCCCCAGATTAGATTTGGCAAGTATTTTCTCAGCCACATGTTCCCCTCTTGTCTCCTGGGACATGGATGTTAGACCTGCTGCTGTCCCACGGGTCCCTGAGACTGTTGATTCCCCACCGCCCCACCCCCCCCGCCTCCATCTTCTCTTCAGGTCGGAGAACGTCTGTTGATCAAGTTTGCTGTCACCTCCCTGGGTCCTCTCTGCTGGGTTCTTCCGTCCGTCCAGTGAGCCTTTTCCTTTGGCTAAAGTATTTTTTGGTTCTCAAATTTCCATCTAGTTGTTCAGACCTCCTAGCTCCTTGCTGATACTTTCTTTTTAACAAGAATTTCTTTTTTAATGTTTGCTTTTGAGAGAGAGACAGAGCATGAGCAGGGGAGGGGCAGAGAGAGAGAGGGAGACAGAGAATTGAAGCAGGCTCCGGACTCCAAGCTGTCAGTACGGAGCCCGACGTGGGGCTCGAACCCATGAACCATGAGATCATGGCAGAAGTAATCCAAGTCACTTCTAAGCTAGAGCACTTAATTCCAGAGCAAAATACTCTGGAATTTCTCTTTCCAGATTCCAGATTCCAGATTCCAGATTCCAGATTCCAGAGCAAAATACTCTGGATTCCTCTTTCCTCTGTGCAGAACCCATAGCCCTTGTGATGGAGGGTGTTCTGCCAGCCTGGGTCGAGGTATGAGCAGAGTTCCAGCTGACCCACAATACACATGGCACATAAGTTAGAAATGAACTCTTGTTATTATAAGCCGTAAGGCTTGGGGGATGTTTGTTACCACAGCATAAGCAGCCTATCCTGACTGACACACTCTCCTTCCAAAACACTTTTCACTTCTGCGATTTTTCACTTGCTTTTGTCGCCGTTGGGCTAATATTTTTCTTTACCCACTGAACTGAGAGCTCCATGAGGTCAGGGATCTTTTGTGTTGTTTCCCCGCTGTATCTCCTGAAACAGCTGGAACATAGCAAGAGTGTCAATTGACTGAAGGAAGAAATCAATGAGCCATAATCCTAGGAGGTCAGTATAATTATCGCTATTTTACAGGGATGAAATGGAAGCTCAGAATGGTTGCATTGGTTGCTCAATGACACATGGCAGGAAAATGGCCGCGATTGGATCAGAACCTAGGTCTCCGTTCAAAACTTGTTCTGAGTACTGTGTGGCTACCTTTCCTGGACAGGAAGGCCTTGGGGTGCTAGGTGTTAGACTACCTTCTCAAGGGTTTTCAGCCCTACCTCCAATATCTCTGCATTGGTGACATTAAAGGACAAAAGGCTTGGGGCGCCTGGGTGGCTCGGTCGGTTAAGCAGCCGACCTCGGCTCAGGTCATGATCTCGCGGTCCGTGAGTTCGAGCCCCGCGTCGGGCTCTGGGCTGACGGCTCAGAGCCTGGAGCCTGTTTCGGATTCTGTGTCTCCCTCTCTCTCTGCCCCTCCCCCGTTCATGCTCTGTCTCTGTCTCAAAAATAAATAAACGTTAAAAAATTTTTTTTAAAAAAAAGGACAAAAGACTTGGGAATCTATGGACCACTGGTCATCTCTGGAATGAGCCACAGCTGGCCAGACAAGGCGGGGAGATGCAAAGTGAGGGGGTGTTTGTCAGCTGTCTGCCCTTCGTTTTACCTCTTTTTTTTTTTCTTTTTTTTAAATTTTTTTTTCAACGTTTATTTATTTTTGGGACAGAGAGAGACAGAGCATGAACGGGGGAGGGGCAGAGAGAGAGGGAGACACAGAATCAGAAACAGGCTCCAGGCTCTGAGCCATCAGCCCAGAGCCCGACGCGGGGCTCGAACTCCCGGAACGCGAGATCGTGACCTGGCTGAAGTCGGACGCTTAACCGACTGCACCACCCAGGTGCCCCCGTTTTACCTCTTTTTAAAACAACTTCCCTTAGCTGAGTGCTTAGTCTCTGCCAGGCACTGTGCCAAAAGCTTTAGGATCATGAGCGCACAGCATCCTCACGACCATCCCAAGTGATTTGTTTTCCCCACAGGAGGAAACTGAGGGCTAGAAGGGTAAATCTACTTGCCTATGGATACGCACTTAGTGTATCAATTACGGCTGCAAAATAAAAACATCCTCCCAAATCAGGGATTTAAAATAGTAAGAGTCTATGATTGCTGACAAGTCTAGCGACCAGCTGGGTAGTTCGGGTCTCAGCTGGGATTATTCGTGCTTCTCTGATCAACAGCGGCCTGGGGTGGGCCCTCCAGTCTTGGCCGAGGTGCCTTACGTGTGCAGGAGTCGGCCGTCCCGGCTGGAGCAGGTGCCGGCAGTGGGCTGGGGCAGCTGGGCTCTCCACGTGGTCTCATCCTCCAGCAGGCAGAGAGCCAGGCTTGTCCACAAGGCGGTGGGAAGGGTCCAAGAAAGTAGACAGAAGCTGCAGGGCCTTGGGGCGCCTGGGTGGCGCAGTCGGTTGAGCGTCCGACTTCAGCCAGGTCATGATCTCGCGCTCCGTGAGTTCGAGCCCCACATCGGGCTCTGGGCTGATGGCTCGGAGCCTGGAGCCTGTTTCCGATTCTGTGTCTCCCTCTCTCTCTGCCCCTCGCCCGTTCA